TACTCAGTATCTGCCTTTTGCCTCCTGATCTGGATTTGCAGCCTATATTGTTTCTCTCTTGGCAGGTGACTGGATCATGCTGATTTATAAAGGAGGTGATTCATATGGTAGGCACTGCAGCGGTGAGAAGAGAAGAGCTGTGATAATGATTTCTTGCAAGCGGGGAGTTACAGCGGTGAGTGACACGTGAGGTGGGAGAGGAGCAGGAGGCTGCCAGACAAACAGTTGTTTGTAAGCGGAAGGGCTTTGAGGAGGCAGCAAGGTTTTCTTCTGTCCTCCAGTGTCTGTTGCCTAGCTGCACCAACAGTGATAAAACTGTCTTCTGGTGAAGTTCAGCATGCCTGGGCGTATTTTCACATGACTTAGTTTTTCCCAAATTGCAGAGTTCGTTCAGCATTATTTCAGAAGAGCGGGAAAAGGAGCAGGAGTGTTTCTACCTCTTTGAGATGGACAGCAGTGTGGCATGTCCAGCTGAGGATTCCCACCTCAGCGTCGGCTCCATTCTACTGATCACGTGAGTCATCAGAAGAGCTGTTCATGTCTGGGCCATAATCTCCAGTGCCATTTAGAAACATAGCAAATGCTGTACTAGACTAGATGATTGTATATATCTATCCACAGCCACTGTTAGATGTTACTATGCCTCTTGAGCTTTTTGGACAAAAGCTCTTGCTCGAGGCATGATGCTGCGGAACCGTTCTGTTCCCTGTAGACATCCACCTTCATAGTTTACAGACAAGTGCACTGAAACATGGAAGACATGACTTCCTAAAATTGTACAACAGCTCTTTGCCAGAGCTGGGAATTCAGACCAGGAGTCTTGACTAATTTTCTGTGTTTGTGCTTAGAGGCACTACTTCATGTAATGCTGCTGATCAATATTTTGGGGAGCTTTTCTGGTCTGGTCTCTGTTTCTAGCTCCGTTCTTGAGTGGTGCTCAGCTACTTGCTCCAATACCAATCTGAGGCAGGTAGCTGGCTCGGAAGAGGTTGTCTATAGGATTTCCTCAGCTTTGATTTTTAATTCTGCCCTCCAGGTTTGCTTCACTGATTGCAGTCTACATCATTGGTGGGTTCCTCTACCAGCGCCTTGTAGTGGGAGCAAAGGGCATGGAGCAGTTTCCCCACTTTGCCTTCTGGCAAGATCTGGGCAATTTAGTGGCGGTGAGTGAAAATCCCTGTATTATCCCAGCCTGGCCCATAAGTTAGGACAGGAGAAAATAGCACCTGCCTTGTCGTCATGGCCTATGTCTCTTGGGTAGACCTACCACCACAGTAGCATACCTTGAGGCAGAAGAAGAGGATATCTGTTTTATTTTTCTTGAGTACTCTAGTTTTGAATCCTTACTGAGACTGATTCCCTGCTGATACCCTGCAACTGCTACATAACAAACTAGAACACATGCTCGTTAGTGGTTAACACTTTCCAGGTAGGAACATTAAGCTAGGGACTGTGGAATGTTCATGTCTGACTGCCTGAAACCCTTCCTCGGTCACCGTAGGCAGTGCCATGTATCCTCCATGCTTGTCTCAGCCTGATGTTGCTGCATACTGTTAATCAGTACACCCAGAGCTTTCAAGACTGAGTAGGATGTTTGTATGTGTGCTTCTCTTGTCAAGACAAGTTTTGGGGACCTGCCCAAGATAGCACAGGGATAGCCATTAATCCCTTAGCAGAAGAGAAATCACAGAAGCTGCTTTGCTTTGGGTGCCGAGTCAACTGCATACAGTCTGATTCCGGTGCAATATCCTGTGCTTGTAGGATGGCTGTGACTTTGTCTGCCGATCTAAGCCTCGAAACGCACCAGCTGCGTACCGTGGTGTGGGTGATGACCAGCTCGGTGAGGAATCAGAAGAACGGGATGACCACTTGCTACCAATGTGATAGGCTTTCAACACTGAGTTCTTTTCTCCCCATCTCCCCAGTGCTTGTTTAGCCGGGTGCCTCCTAGCCAGTTCTCCTTCTCTCACTTCTGATTTTCTTTACACTATTTGCTTTCGCTGTCTCTGGTGTGTCAAGTCCCATGGACGCCTCTGGGTGCAAACAGCATTGGTCCCTGATGGCACGTCTTATGAATATAATGCTGGTTTAGGTTTTTAAAAAATGGGGCAGAGCTGGGGGATAAAAGTGCTGAGAGTTGAGTAGAAGACAGCAAGAAAGCAATATGAGTGTTCAGCACTGAGCAGGAATGGGAGATGAATCACTGAAAGGAAAAAAGGGCCACGGATGGATGCAGAAAGGAAAAGGAGGCCATGGGTTAAAACAGCTGAGACTGTAGGAGGGATCTTTTGTGTCTTTTTTTTTTTTTTTTCCTCCCCTAGGGTTTACAGGATCTGTAAGACACTGGAATTACTTTTCTTTGAATGCATTTTTGGCTTTTCTAGCTTCTGCACTGTTACGCGCTGTTTCTGCCAACATAACCTGCACGGAGCGCTCTATGCCAGGCTCTGTGGGGGTGGAAGAGGCATTAGCACCTCTGCAGCCTTTTCTTTTCCTACTGGCAATATGTTGAAGAGTACACACCAGTTTCCTTCAACAGATGTAAAGGGATGCATGCCATCCTCTCAGACTGGAGAGGGGCAATGCTAAGAAACTATAGGAGTTAAATATGGTCTCATGACTTTCCAGTTCAGTCAAAATATTGTCTCAGTCTTCTCAATCGTTGAGAAGCAAAAGGAACTGACGTGCTGCTAAGTAAAGGGAACATTTGCTGAAACTGCAACTGATACCAAGGCAAAATGAGATAGGTAGCTTCCACTTGAGTTCTGTTACAAGCTTCCCCAGGTGATTGCCCACACAGCTCAGTCACTGTCAGCATTGTGATTTCATGCTCTCCAAGAGTTCCTTGTTTGGCAGAGGGTTTTCCTGTGAAGCTACCAGAATTTATTTTTATAAAAAGGAACCATAGAAGCCAAGGGTAAGAATGAAAACACATTAAAAACTGCATAAGGGACTCTTGTACTTACAGGGTCAGCTTTCATAAATCACTGTCCCCTTAAGCATGGTGCAGACTGCTCTTAAGACACTTGCCCTGTGCAGATGGTATTTATCTACTGCTACTGGCTGGGAGTGAGGGAGACCTTCTCCTGGGGCCCTAGTGAAAAGCAGGTACAACTGAGTTGTAAGACTTAATGGGAACTTTCAGGAACTTGGCACCTTGATTCCTAACTGCTTTTTATGTGAGGGGCTACACTGCAAGCAATCCCATTCTGCCCTACTGTAGACTGGCAGAGAACCGTCCTCAGTCTTGAGGGCAGAGACTCTGAATAAGCAAGCCACTACTGTTAACAGCAGGGTACGGACAAGGTTTGTGTATTTTTAATACTGCCAAAGCAGTCTGAACAGTGACACTGAGGGAAAAGGGGTGACCCTGCTTTCTTGCTGGGTTTTGAGTGGGCAAACAATTCCTGCTTTCTTTGACTTTTGTTACGGTCTCAATCTTTCTCATAACATGGGAAAAATAGGAAGTCACTAAGTCCGTTGTTACTGTTTTTCATGGTGGTGTTTAAGGTAATTTTTTTTGTACAAAACACAACTTTCAAAAATAAAATGACAAAAAAAACCTGGTGAAGCATTGTGCTGATTTAACAGGAGCTTTCTTTGGTGCCAGAGCACCTTACTTAGGTGAAGGGTCCTTAGTGTGCAGTGGCTTGTGCCTGAACTATGCTTGCCAGGACTGGATCTCTTCTTGTTAGTATGTGGTTTTTGCTGTCACCTTGTATCACTCCAGTTCCCTTAGAGCCTCAGGAGGGATATACACATCTTTCAAAACTGAAACTTTAAAAGCTCAGGTAGTTATAAATGGGGAAAGATTCCTATGCTCTGTATTTTTCTGCAACAATAAAAATCAAAAGTAACTTTTTGATGAAGGTTGTACTTTTCAAACACTAGCTTAATGTTCAGGTTGGGGAGGAGGGTTAAAAAGCAGCCAGACCTGCAAAGCCTGAACAAGCATTTTTTTTTTATTAAGAACATTGAACATGAAATGAAGAAGTGAAGCCTTCCCCTTTGACTGAAATAAAATCCGGTCCTCAGAAGTAGCTAGTATAATGTAGGCAGGCTAGCTGCCCGCCTACACTGCCAAGCATCAAACTAAACAGGAGTTTTATCACACCCAGCCCTGCTAAGGATAAAATGGTTTATGGGCCTTCCTCTGCTGATTGCCATTAGAGATTCTAACATCTCCCTTCTCTGCCCCCAAATTACATCAGACCAAATAGTGTTATCAGGGTGCAAGCACGGGCAGCTTCCTTTGGGCCTGTTTTCATTCAAGAAGCCTCAGAAGTCTTCTCTCACAGGAACAAGGATGCCATTAAAGTGAGATTCAACAGTACAGTTAAGACTAGGAAGCTGCTACCATGTTTTATCCATCTTCTAAGCACTTTCCCTCCTCTCTTTTTCTAACACAGGTCAATAAAAAGCCCATTCCAAGATCTCTAATGTTTTCCTACCTATGCCATTTAGGCCTCCTCCCGTGCCACTACAGCTTTCCTGCAACAGTAGCTGCTTTCCACCCAGATCGATCTTAATGTTTCACTCAAATATTCACATGAAACTTCTGAAAACAGAAAAGCTGAGACACATGGTTTATAAAAATCATTTTGCATTCAGGTATTTGGCTCTAGGGGGCACTTACCTCTTCATGCTTTGTGTAATTTCTTCAGGTTTTTTTGCCTGTTTGTTTGAAGCAGAGGTGCTTCTGGAAGAGCAGAATTCTGCCCAGGTTTTCACCTTTGGCAATCTGGTTACAAAACTTCAGAATACCACATTTGATGCTTACAAAAAAACCCAGACCTGGAGAGGCTGAAAGGGAGAGACTCGGCCTATAACAGAATGCTACCCCTTAGAAAGGAGAAGTAGCATTCAAAGATTAGTATTCGGTTGTTGGAGGGTGTGTTTTGGTTGTTTGGTTTTTTTTAACTGAGGAAAAGAAATATTTGTTTTACACCAAAAAAAAAAAAAAAAAAAAAAAAGAGCCTGAGGCAGGCGATAACAATTCTGCCAGCTTAAACTTTGTCCCATAAGCTCTCCTGAGGATAATGACAACAGACACAAAAATAATACAAACTGATAAGAGAACACAAAAAACCCCAAACCAAAACCTCAGCCCATTTTATGAAGAGCCTTGGCGCTTCTGGAGACTGCTTTGGATCTGTAAATTATGCCCTAGCACAATAGGGAGACAAACCTAGTGCTGCAGGGTTCCCTAATGCAAGACAATCCCCCATCCCATTGATTTTCCCATCACTTTGTCATAAGTACTCAGGATAAATCCTCCTCTGACTGGTTCAGAGAGGAGCATCTGGAGTGAATAGCTGCCACAACACTTTGTCTTCACTCCGCATCTCTACAGGAGATAGTAAAGCTAAGGCAGCTCCTTTTGCCATGAGCCTTCAAGTTTGGTATGCATGCTGGAATGGCTATTAAACCCTGTTCGTGAGCAGCCTAGGTATTTTTTTAAGAGTGGAACAGCAGCAGCCCCTTTTGCTCAAATTCCTGGTTTGTCCACCTCTGTCACTTGGAATTTACTAGTTCCCCTTCCTAAATGCCCCAAGCACAGCTGCTCCCAAAGTCCATGTGGGGCCGGCTCTTCCTATGCCTCAATTTCTGGCACAGTGAGATTCAAAACTAATATCTAGCAGACCTGCTGTAGCAAAAAGGGGCGAAGGCAGTTCCCTTTCAGAAGTCTGCTAAGACAGAAAGAGGTCCCCTTCACATCTTTATGGGGTATACGGGAGAGGCATATTCAAAATCAGGAAGAAGGAAAGATGTTTCAAGGCCCCAGGTGGGAGTTTTCCTCCCCCTTGTAGCACCATTAAGAGACCAAGACATGGGCTTGTGCACGGCAGTTTCAATCAGTTAAATTCCTTCTCATTCTTCTTGAATGCAAGACCACAGGGGACTGTCCCCTTCTTCCCTGCCCCAGCAGGATGCTCCAAAGCTGGCAGCTGCCCTGGGGTCAGAGCAAAAGTGAGACCTCTGGCTTCAGAGCTGTTAGGTCTCCTTGAGGACATTGATCTTGGCACAGATCTTGAGAGCTGGTCCCAGCTTGATGTTCATGGCACTCATGAGGTGTTCCTCCTTCAGAAGCAACAGGGCCTGGCCATCAATTTCCTGTGACCGAAACTCCTCAGCAATTTCCTGGCACCCTGTGAAACCAAAAAACAGCACTGAGAAACAGACATGCCGTGGGCACTCCCCTCGTTCCCACTCTGGGCCTCTGGCAGGTACAGAAAGCAAACTAGAAATCTAACCACCTCCCACCTCCCCACTCTACTCCACAGTCTGCCCAAGGACACAAGCTACTTGAGAAGTACAAGTCACCCATCTGTATGACCTGCTCCAATTCAGAAACACGTACAGAAGTACAATAAAAGCACTAGGCTTCACAGACACCACTTTCTTGCGAGAAAGAGAGCCAGCAAATTTCCCCATGCTACTGGATCACAGGAGTGCAGGAGAGGACCTTCACCTTGCAGTGATGCAATGAACTCATACACTTCCTCCACACTCCAACGACTGGGATTGCTGGACAGGAAGACGGGGTTGATGCCGTGTAGATCTGGGGTAGGTGGGGCCATGCTAGAGTTTGCCAGGTCCCTCTCTCCATGACTGGCCCTTACTGACAGGGGTCCTGGAGATGTAGGGGACAAAGCTTCATCATAGCTGGAGTTATCAGAGCCTCGACTTGAGTCTTCCTGGCCCTACAAGCCCATAGGAAAGAAAGAAAACAAAAGGTGTTTTGTAAGAAATTCACAATTACTAGGTGCAAAACAAGCAGAAGTTGACTCAACAGTCTGGGACAAGTCCCAGGCCGTTGGTCCAGGGGCAGCTGACATAAGAGCTCCCTGATGCCAGAAAGGGGAGACTACTCTCGCCTCCCTTCCTCATCCTTCTCCCCATCCTCCCCCAGTCCATTCCTCTTCCTCACATCAGTGCTGAAGCTCATCCGATTCTTCTATAATCCGATTCAAATCATTCATGTGGAAGAATGCTAATCAAATGGGAAAAGTGGATTGTTTTCTACCAAGGCTGTCAGCTGATCTCACTCACTGAGACCTCCAAGACACAGGCAGGAGCAAACAGAGAGTGAACAGAACAAATACAAATGTGACTACACTTTCTGCAGTCGATGAGGGATTAGAACAGCTCACCGTGCCTTGTGTAACAACTGTGTCAGTGTGCACTTGGCACGTCCTGCACAACTACATCCACTGTGAGAAAGTGGTACATCCAGCAGTGACAACCGTTACACTGAGAACTGCCTTGACAGAGGCAGACAGGACTATGTCCTTACCCTGTGGCGTTTGCCCTGGATCTTTGTTCGAGCAATTTCAGAGCTGCTGCGCCGTGGTCCCCGTCGGCGCACACGAGCATAGTTAGCTTCCTGGAATTCCTTCATCTTCTTCCTCTGCAGCCGAAACTGATGGCTGCAGCTGACATTGTACCTCAAGTAAGTAGAAGCAGAGCAGCAGTTAGGAAACAGCAACTATCTAAACCTACTGCTTCTCCTTGCTCTAGATGGGGATAAAACTCCTCTTTACCATCAAGTTCTGTTCCTCCTCCTTCTAAGACTTCCCCTTGGAAGGAACCAGTCCAGACTTCTGACACAAGCAATATTTGGACACCAGAGTCTTGATCTAACATCTGAAGGGTCAATTAAGTCATTCCCCTAAGGGAAAAAAGACCCATAACAAGCACTCTGCTATCAATAGGAAGCAGAAATGACTAGTCTAACTTCTTGCCAGGTTTCTTCCCCAATGCTCCCTTGTGTCTTTGCCTAGTACCAATGCAGCAGAGAGCTACTAGTATGCATTCATTTAGTCAGTCAAATGTACATTTGACTGAAGAGAGGTTCTTTGGAGCCCCAGAACTTCCCTCTTCCCACTTCATTTTCTGAGCAAGTCAGAAATCCTGTTTGCACTCAACACAACATTCACCTCTCCACACCTAGAAGCATTCATAAATCATTTAGAGTCCTAAAGGATCTCTGTGGCCAGTGCATCCCATGGAGGGACATTCAGATGTACTGAAGTGTTGTACACTACCTGGAGAAGGGGCACATGCTCAGTTTGAGAGAATGTACAGTCAGAGGAAAGGAAGATTATGTCTTGCTATTATTACCTTTTAGCACAGGTCATGGAACAGAACCTCTTGGAACCACGGAACTGGGTTGCTGGGGCATACTTCCCACAGTATTCACACTTCAGCAAGTTTGCCTTCTTATCAAGCTCTAGTGAGAGAGATACACACCAGTTGATGATCTGAACTGAAGCAGATCACACACAATGATTCCCCATTCCACTACTCTTCTGAGCAGACAGATTCCAAGCACTACTACTGAATATACTAAGCAGTTAGCCTGGTGAAGAAGCTGGGGAAAGAGAGGCAGAAGCTCCACTAATTAGGACCCCAGGATACTGAACAGAGCCGTTTATTTCTCCTTGTCAGTACCATTTTGCTGAACAAGCAAAAAACAGCATATCCTTCATACCCTACAAGGCTGCAGGGGAAATCTCCATCACTGCACTCTCTGCTGTGTCCACACATCCTCTGCAACCTTCAGATTCATTAGAGACAAGTACCATTCAGATTCTCCTGCTTACTACTGACACAGGGTGTGTTAGATCATATCAACAACAAAGTATTGTCTTCTGGCACTCAAGAACAGGAGATCCTAGGTCCATAACTTGAGTCTCTAAGAAGTTAGCGGGAAGGCAGGAAGAGATACAAGTTCATAATGTATAAAGTTAGTAATACAGTATCAAAGAGCAGAAATTTCAGTAACACTAGATAGGCTTCCTGGTGCTGAAACTCACCCATAGAAGCACTGTCCCCTCCCGGAGAATTGCTGGACAGGTTTTCACTCTGGCCAGAAGGAGCCTCTCCCTGCAGCGGTTTCTCAGATTCTTTCAGCAGCTGAGAACAACCCACCTGGACAGGAAAAGAAAGAGTTGGGCCCATCAGTAAAGGATTCTCTGTGTCCACCGCCCTCTGCAAGGTATGTGCTGTTCATACCTTATTACAGCTCAGAAGAATCCCTCTGCCTACTAGGGAAGGAGAGATGCTGAACAAAGTTGTTACTCCCTCCTGACTCACAGGCTTGGCAGTTCATTCAAAGATCACCAAGTACTATCTGGCTTGAATATCCTGCAATTCCATGTAACTGCATTTCCCCTTATTTGCTTTAACTTCACTTGCTGTTTGTTCAAAATACAATGCATCTTTCCCTACTAAAAATCAGAGAGAAGAACCTTCTTACAATTCCTGCATAAATTATTGCTTTGGGGACTACTGGTGAAAACAGTTCCCATCACACTTGTTTTACTCCTTCCAACCCATTCTCTTTAATGCCACCACTTTATGCCTTGCTTCGTGCATGAGACCTCCCTCACTTCCCTTCCTCTTCACTGTCTGTGTCTCAGGCTAAAATGCTGAGTTGGAATATGGGGGAAGAAACTCCTGTCTCAAAGACAGAAGCCCACCACCCTCCCAAGACAGCGCTACACCTCCTTCTCCCGCAGCAGAGAATCCCTACCGGAAAGGGCTCTGCTCCTTCCTGGATGACAAAGCCTTCAATGATGTGTGTGAGGATCTGGGGCTTGACGATGGCTTGGGGGGGTTTGGAGTCTCCCATCTGACGTGACACCATTGCCAGGTTTGGGATGGGAGCAGAGGTGGGGGTGACTGATGCTCCTTCACTTGAGGGGGTATTTGAGGTTGCAATGGCAGCAGAATCAGATTTATCTGGAACGTTAACAGCACAAGAGTCAGTTACCTTTGCTCCATCTACTTCAAATGGAATACGAGATCAGATCATTAGCACACACAAGCAGAGCTCTCCTTTGTACCTCACCTCCAAGGCCACTCTTCTCCTCCATGTTTTTGGGGCTGTCTGTCACAGGAGAGGACCTGGCAGGCAGCAGTGCAGTGACACTGGGCGACTCCTCCTTCTCCTCCTCTGACTCTGCCTTCCGCTTTACCGCTAGGGTCTGAGACTTGCCCTGTGTGAATAAAGAACACATAAGCGGAGAGAAGAGCTCCAAACCAAAGAACAAGACAGATCAAAGGCAAAAGTAAGATGCATCCTTCCCCATCGTATTTAATTTCCAGCCTGGTTCCTTCTCCTGGAGATGCCTCTAGCTCCCTCACAGTACATACCTCTACTTCAGAGCATTTGCCTAGCAGGGAGCAAAACTTCAGCAGACTCACTACCATACCACTATGACCAGGATCTGGTGTCCCATTTCATGTCGATACATTGATATAATATCAAGTCACTGTGTAAACCTCAAAGGATTATTCCAGGAAGAAAGAAATGGAATGGCAGTCACCCAGCAGCTTCCAAACAGGCTTTTGGCTAAATCAGATCAGTTTCAATGAAGGACAGTCAAAGAGCAGGGGACACATGTTGGATGAGAGCAGAATTGTCCCACCACTCTAAAAATCAGACAAATCCTGTGACACCTTCCTGAAGAAGCAGCCAGAGTTTAGAAACAGTCTCAGAAACTGGCTAAGGATATCTGAGCTGGCAAAGTGCTGTTGTCCCAGGGAGTTAGGGAGTTAGGCCCTAGCTGGACAAGTCACAGCAGCATGGACAAGGGCGATGGAACATGAGCCATCTTTGTTTTCCTCTGCATAGCCTGTTGCTAGGGGATCCTCTGAGGCCTAGAGTCAGTAGCTGGTACCACACACCAAGGGGTCTCTGACCCGGAGGTCTCCATACCTAGTGAGGGGACAGGGGGTTCGGTCTCCACGGGCCACTGAGCTCTCATCTCTCTCCTGAGAGAGACAACAAGGAGGCCAGTTATTGTTTGTATTGGGTTTATGTGGCAAGGTTTTGGTAGCAGGGGGGCTGCAGGGGTGACTTCTGTG